CACCTCTCTTAAGTGTTCAGCCTTTTTGATTGATCCCCTGAGCTCGCATACACGCTCAGGTTCAAAAACTCCATGTATCACATTGATAATGCCTTGAGGTGGAGCGTCGACTGGCATCCCATTGGGGTTATTATGGTCCTAGGGGGCTGGTTGCGTCCCTCATTCAATGTATTTATCCAAGTGTCCTGCTGCCACCAACTCCTCCAGGTGCTGTTTCAAGGGCGTGCAATTCTCAGTGCGGTGCCCCTTTTCTTTATGGAAGGTGCACCGTGATCTTTCGTCATAGTCCTTCTGAGCTTCCCCAAGCTTAGCTGGCCATCTGACGAAAGGTTCATCCCGTATTTCACTTAGAATTCAGTAGATCAGTTTCTTGAAGACCGTGGTTATGGCAGTGCGGACTCTCAACCATCTTTTATCCTGGTCCTCTCCATTGTCTCGCCTGCCTCGTCCGTTTCTGCTTGGACGATCTACTGCGTTGACCTTTGTCGAGGCCTTTTTCTCTGGCATTGCGGTGGTGCCAGATTTTGTTTTGGCACGGGCACTATCCTCTTCCACCCTAATGTGCTGATGCATTCTTTCCATCAAGGCTTCCATGGTGAGGGGTGGTGTCATGGTGAGGGGTGGTGTCATGGTGATCGAGTCCCTTAGTCTATTCCCGACTGGAAGGCCTCTTTTGTATTGTGCAATGGCGAGATTGGTGGGGCAGTCCCCAATCTGGTTGAATGTCTCCCAGTAGCGACTATTGTAGGACCTTAATGTCTCTTTTTCGCCCATGTCGATGGAGAGTAACTGGTCAATCTCCACCGGGGTTTTGGTGTTCATTCTGAACCTTGTGACAAACACCTCTGCCAATTGCGCCCAGGAGGCTATGCTGCCTTCTGGAAGTTTTTCAAACCAAGTCAAGCCTAGATCGCCAAGGCTTGACGGGAAGAGGATGCACATTAGAGCCTCATTTCGCCGATATACCGCCATAACCTGGCGGAAGTGGCTTAGGTGAATGTAGGGGTCCGTTTTCCCCTCGTACGTAGTGAATTTGGGCTAAAGGAAGCCTGTAGATAGGGGCGCGTTTTCAATTGCCGGAACGAACGACGAGGTCTTCAACCTCGCTAATGCTTTGTCCGTCGGTTCGTAGGCAGGGCGTGGTAATGGCATTCTAACCTCGACGCTTCCATGCGATCGAGGGGCCAGTCGTTGAAGGGCAGAAACTCTGCGTGGGTCGCGCGCCCTAGTGTCCTCCTTCCATCGTGCCTTTCCTTCCAGCATGATCCGTAAATCGGATGATCTGGGCAACTCCGTCTGTTTGGATGTTGTTTGGTGCGAATGTGAGGGTCGGTAGGTACTTCCCTCAGTGTAAGACCTCAATGATCTCGTTCTCTCAGACCTGGAGTAACGAGTTCTGGAGGTTCTAGACTGAGTATCGCCTGTCCTGAGGCTTCTACTCTCTGTTTGTGATGGTATGGAATGCCTTCCATGGTCTTCTGAGCGGCGATGGGGCATCTTGTTTTTGCACCCCTCTCCTGTCGCCACTCCTTTTCCTTTTATCTGGCGCTTCAAGGCCTCCATGTCCGCCGCCATCTTCCTTATTAATTCATCTTGCTCATTCACGCGGTCCTCCAGAACTTGAGGATCAATCCTCCACCTTTGCCTGTCAGGACTTTGTGAATGAGAGTGACGGGGGCTGTGAGTCTGCCTCCCCCTAGTATCTCTCCTGGAGTTATGTCGTTGGGGCTCCAAGTCTGCCATGAGAGGGATAGAAGGTAGTCCTTCGCGCCTTGCACCCCCATCTGGCGTTTGCCCGTTGATGGCGGACTGTGGTAAATCTTCATTGTGCGCCATTGTTCCTAAAGAGGTAAAGCTTGATCAAGAGGTTTTGTCCTGTCTGCAATTCCCACAGACGGCGCCAATTGTACGGGAAAGAAATAAACCTTCTCGTATAATCCTGTTGATCAAGTCTGTGCTCTTCCGTACGTCGTCACTTTATCACCTGAAAACACAAACGTGAGCTAGCCGGCGGGTGTATGCCGGAAACCTCTCCGATGCCTAAGTCAATAAGCTTGACAAATAGACAAAAGCTCTGTGTATTTAGAAAGCAAAGTTGTGTTACCTTTTCAAAGGTGATGTTTGTGAGCTTTTTATAGGTTTTGCGTGGCACAATCCTAGTAGGACTTTTACTCCTCCATGCAGAGTCCTCCTTGGATTCATACTCCTGAAAGATAATGCTTATCCTTCAACACCCTCCTCACTGCTTAAACCAAGTGAGATGATTTTTACCGTGGCCGAACTCCAATATGACCGAAGTAATCATGATCACGCCGAGCCACAGATTAGACCGAACTATCGTTAGTTCGGTTCTACCTTCAGTGTTCTTACCCCAGTTCCTCCATTGTCAACAGTGTTAAGTCAAAACCGATCTAACTTCTAGCAAGGCTTTTAGACCGAACTAACCATACTGTGCCTTAACCAATATAAGTTCAACGCATCCTTAAACCGGTCTAACTACAAAGCGTCCTTCAACCGGACTAACATCAAGAGTAACTCGGACCGGTCTACCTTATGGGCTTGAGATCGGGCTAACTTTAAGCCTCTTCAAGACTGGAGTAACTTTATGGCCTCTTTACTCAGCCCTTCGTACTGAGGCCCATAAAGGCCCAGCTCGGCTCAATTTCGCATATAAATTACCCTCTCAAATGGTGAAAAAAATAAGTACATTTTAAAAAAAAAATGTTATACGTCTTAAACCATGATTGTTAAATTTATATTCATATAGGGGCAGGAATTGAGTCTTATCTATTAATTTTTTTGAGAAAATTACATATATATTTTTTGAAATTTGTTTAAAATATGAATTGTACTTTGAAAAATTACAAATAGGGCAAATTACAAACACCCCCCTCGAGGTTTGGTGAAAATACAAATTCTCTCTTGAGGTTTGAGAAATTACAAATTGCTCCCTGAAGGTCAAATTTGCATAATAAATTGGGGAGGAATCTGCATGAAAATAAAAAACTCAGGAGACAATTTGTTATGGAAATATAAATCTCAGGAGGCAATTTGTAATTTCTCAAACCTCATGGGAGAATCTGTATTTTTACCAAATCTCGAGGGGGTGTTTGTAATTTGCCCTTACAAATATCTTATTGTCAGAATTTTTTATTTAACATAATTAATTAAAAAAGTGAAATTTCTAACTATTCACCTATACAATAATAAAATTATCCGAATTATTAATTGAATAAAATTTTAACATTATTAAAAATTATTAATTAACTTGATGATTTATTAATAAAATGACCGATTTATTGTGAAATTAGAAACCTTATGGGGCATAATATAATTTCTAAAATTATAAGGGGTAATTTATAATTTAAGTAAACCTCAGAGAGTGTATTTGTAATTTATCCAATTTTTAAATAAATTAATAATTGCTATGTAATAACCTACATTATTTTAATGATACAAAATGTATTTTGTGGTAGGGGTGTAACTCGGTCAAGTTCAGTCGGGTTGTGAGGTTGTCCAAACCCAGCTCAAGTTGTGTTGAGATCTGTCCAGGACCACCCAAGCCCAAATTGTAACCCGAGGTTGCCTGCCCAAGCCCGACCCAAGTTAAATCCGAGTTGCCTGAGTTGTATTTTTTTTTTTTTTGCATCTATATTATTAAATTATTAAAATTTAACTCTATTTACAATTTTTTTAATATATAGAAAATCATTAATATCATTAAAGCAAGTAATTTATAATATGTAAGAGAGAAGCCGTTATAGTAGTCTTTATAATTTATGAGTGGAAAAAAAAAGAGACTAAGATTTTAGTTATTTGTATATATAATATATATTCAATATGATTTAATAATCTAAATTATTCTAATATCATGTAATGACTAATAATTTATATATATATATTTAGTATTTTTATATATTTATATATGTATAATTCAGGTTTCGAGTTGCTCGGGTTATTTGATGCTTTTACCTAAGTCCGTCCAAATTTAATTCGGACTTTCAAATTTTTACCTAAGCCTGTACCAAATTTAAAAATATTTTATTCAAATCTTAAAAAAATTTAAATTAGATTCGGGTTACTCAGGCTGAGCCCGCCCAACTTACCCCTCAGCTTGTGGTGAGAAAATATAGGCACATATATTTTCAGGCAAACAAGTTATTGACTCTAGTAAGACTCACAAAAATACGTTAAATTCGGCATGATTTCAAAAAATAACATAAGTAGTAAAAGAAAGTATTGCTCACTCAACTTTGATAACAAGGGCTCTCGTGCCTTAATAATGGTGGAAATCTTGTTTGGCCAAGCCTAACCAAACACACTTAAGAGTGATATTTTCTTAAAAATTAAGTATTTTCTGTGATAATTGTGGGTTTTATATATAAAAAAATGTTGTTTTTGGTTTCTTAAAATGGAAGTGTAATAAAAAAAAAAATGCTCATTCCTTATTATTGTAAAATAATAACTTCTTATTTGCTATTGTATGAATGTTTTTGAAAAGTAAAAAATAAAGTTAGTGATTCAAACGTGAAAATAAACAATCTAATAGAATTATCATTCGATTCCACATTCATTCAAATGAATCAAATATTACAATAGAAAAAAATTTAAGTGCATATAATTCAATCACAAAATTGTATACAATTCTGTCACATGACGTAAACCAACCAAGAGTTTAGATTTGCTAAAATTGTAAATCCAGTGAAATTGGTGCATTGTAAGACCAATTGGTGTCCATCTTAGTGATCTAAACCATTCATCTCATGTGATAAGTTAATGTAAAAAATTAAGTTCATCAGATATAAGCAATCATATGATCAAATAACATCTAAACCGTTCAAATGGACAATGTATTATTAAGATTTTCAATTTTAACAAATCCAAACTCACCCACCAAATGCACCAAAACATCGTTAGAGAGAACTGTGTCAGATTCTGAATAAAATTGTATATAGTTCAGGATTGTCATTAGAGAGAATTGTGTCAGATTCTAAATAAAATTATATAGTCTAAAATGAGCTTTTTGCAAGGCCATTACTTCCATAACTCGAACATGGATACAATAAAATTTTATACAAAACCAGAATAAATAAAATAAAATTATATGGATCTACAATGACATGGATGTACCTAATTCAATTGTAACTGCAAAGATACATTACAGCAATAACTACACTAATATACCATCCTTCCAACCAGAATTTTAGTAACCCAGGAAATTGTGATTATGATACATATAGTAGTTGGCCATAAATATGATGAAACTCACATGACAACTGCAGTAGCACCTCAATGTACAAGGTTAAACTGCAACATTCTCGCGCCAAAATGGCCACAACAATCAAGATGTGAACTGTAAGTCAATTTACCTTCTAACAGATGAAAACTCGGCCAACTTCACAACATTCTTGTACACTAGCCTAATCTCCATCCACCACTTCAACCAGCCTGCCACGAACCCATTTCTTCGCGACAGGAATTGAATTAGGTGGTGTTTCCTCTTTCCTGGACTGATATTCTGCTCCATTCCCATTCAGTTCAAGCTGACTCAGCTGCTCAGTGAAGCTGCATTGCTTTATTATACCATCCAGTTCTGATGGAGGCAAACCATAATCACTCATGCTTGTTTGATAAAGTTCCTCCTTACCATTAAGCAAATCATGGAAGTTGAATTTACCAAAACCAAAGTCGTTATAATCGCTCTTACTTGATTCTACTGTTTGGGTACCATTGATTTCTCCATTATCTCTTTGGCTCAGACCTTGAACACCTGGATTATTTCCCTTCTCAGCCTGGTTGACCAGTTCTGCTGAGGCGATTGAAGGGTGTCTACCATTCCCATGAGAATCAATCTGTCCAATTTCTATGGATTGAATTGATTGAATTGCTTCGGCTATGAGATTCCTAGTTTCGATGAGGGAAGCTTGAGCGAGAGGGCTCTTTGTTGCAGCCGCCTCAAGAGCCTTTGCAGCCTTTTCAGCTTCAGCAATCAATAACCTGTAAAATGTTATAAATATATGAATAGAATCCTCAGATAAATCTTACCTAAACCAGCCTAACATATCAACAGGAACTCGATGTCAATTGAGAGAGAGAGAGAGAGAGAGAGAGAGAGAGAGAGAGAGAGAGGGGGGGGGAATTCATTTCTGACTACTGCATATGATGTGTAGAGACAGATGTACAGGTACAAACAATAACTCAGCCAGCCACCGATTGTTAGTGACTCAGGCTTGTTTGGTACAATTTATTGTAAGCTAAAAGCTAAAAACAAGAAAGTAGAAATTAAAAGCATCCTTCCTCAGTTTCTCAACAATCAGTTTTTTCAGTTTATTTAAGATATTTTTGACTTGTTAGAGCATCTTACATAATGGTTAAAAGTGTGCTCCAACTTTTTCATCAAATCTCAAGGGAGAGGCAATTTTTTCACAAATCAATGATGAACCAAATCCTTCACCAAATTCCCAGCAGTCATATTTTTACTCAAATTTGATGAAATTTTGAAAAGAGTAAGGATTGGAGATGATTTTCTTTCACCAAAAATGGTTAAAACAAGTTTTTAGGAGAAGTTCGAAATTTTTCAAAACGATTGGACCAAAAAATGAAAAATGAAAAAAGAGAAAGGATGGTAGTGTTCTATATCAGATTAAGCTTTTAATCAAATTTTCATTCAAATTTGATGAAAAAAATATCAAAGATTGGAGGTCCTCTTAGTTGTAAGTAGAAACTATACCAAACTCTCATATAGATTCCCAAATAAAATAAAGTAATTGATAAGTAGTCCCCATAAGCTGCACCAAACATGCAGTGGATTGCTTCCATATTCTCTTAATTCCTTGTTAAATATATAATACAATAGAATTGAAGAAGAATTGGCACTTACTTTGCTCGTTCAATGGCTTCAGTCTTCTTGGTTTCGGCAGCTGCTCTCTCTGCTCTAATGTTCTTTATCATCTCTAGTTTGGAGCTTGCCAAAGGATCCTTAAATAAGGGCATATTACTTCTTAACCTAGTACGACGCTTTTGGCTTTCAGTCACATTCCCTGTGGAATTATCAGTGTCATTAGCTTTCTTCTTTGTGGGATTCTGTATTCTGGGTTGTCTCTCACTGCTTCTTGGCCTTCGCTTTGGCTTCCTTTCTGCTCCAACTGGTGTGCCATGATATTTATGAAGGGCAGTGCAAACCCTGTCACGGTATGCCTAGTGGGAAAAGATAAAACTTGCTTAACAAACCATGTTTTCTGCAAATTTAATGTGATATATTAAAAAAAAAAGTCAAAACGGTTTATTAACTTATAATGACTATCTCAGTCAGAGTGGGAAAAATATTACTATCTTTCTTCTGATACTTTGCAATGAAATATATAGATCATCACCACGAATCACAAGTGAGCCTTGGACCCAAAAGGGAAAACTTATATTCAGTCCAACTTACCAATCGTTTGATACTTCTCTCTTCACAAATAATCAGTAGATGTTGGGAACTTACACACACAGGATAAAAGAGAGGGCAAAAAAAAAAAAAAAGAAATTCTATATAGAAAGTAGCAGAGAAGTTCAAGTCTTAAATCAGAAAACGGGGGGTATAAGGATTTATTCACTGGACATTCAATGGTGTATCACAAGACAAAAAACAAAGTAGGTTGAAACATCATCAAATTGGTATCTTGGAATGTTGAGCTCCGATAATATGTTATAGATTTTTATCATCAACTTGATGAATTAATTTCAAGATATAAGGCTTTTCTTATTATAACACGCTCAAAAGGATCCCTGTTCGTCCATCAAATATTCTACATTTTTCTGTATACTTGGATTCAATTCAAATACCCATCAATTAGCTGTTTGCACACCGTTTTCGTGCTGATGTAGTCTAAGGGGCATATGCATAGCTAGTACTAGTAATAAGTTAGTCATCCATTTAGGAATGGCAGCAAAACCCAGAGCTTGATAGGATTAGGCTACCACCCCTTTTTCAGAGCATTTATGTTCCGCTTGTTTTAGCAGAAAATATTTTCCACGGAAACTTTTTTTTCAGGAAAACATTTTTCTATGTTTCATTACATTCTTCAAACTTATGTAATTAGTGGTGGTGGTGGCCATGGCGTGGTGGTTTTAGTGGTGATGGTGGTGGAAAATATTTTCTGCCCCAAATAATTTTATTTTTCGTTGACCATGGAAAACATTTTCCATTGGCTTTTGTTTTCTGTTGTACCAAACACCAAAAATCGGCAGAAAAAGTTTTCCACATTTGGAGGGTTAGACAAATTGAATTAAATGATCACTTGATGAAAAGCAAACAAGATGGACTAGGCCAAATAAACAGCATACATTCTCAGCAGAAAATGCAACATATGCCCTTACAGGATCAGCCCATTTGGCAGAAATGGCCTCTGAAATTTTCCTCCTTTGCTCAAGAGACTTGGGTGCTCTCTTGCTACCTTTCGGTCTTGCCATTTTTCTCCTTTGTTCAACACTCTCCAACCATTCCTGCTCGAGCTGTTCATCCAAGATCTTATAGGAGTTCCACTGCTTCTCTTCCTCACCAACAAATCCCTTTCTAGAAGCTTCTGCTATCAAATTCTGCCACTCAAAGTAGCAAGTTTCCTGCAGCTTCAGTTTTTCACGGCGCCTTTCCCACCCCATTCGCACTCCAATGCCAATTTTCATCCTTGTTTCTTCGCTGCACAATCAATAAAGAACATGGTAAATAAAGTGATTAAAGCAGTATGTGGAAAATTACAAACTGAAGGTCAAAAACTCAAAACTGCTGTTAAGACTTAAAGAAGGCCCTAGTACAAATCCAGGGTAATGCCAAGCATCTAATTCACTGAATCTTCTCAAGTTCCAAAATCTCATATTTGAAGAAGAAATCAGACTAATATTAACAGTAACAAAGGCACAAATTATTACAAAATGACGGAGGAAAAAATTAAAATAGTTTAGTCTTGTTCTGGCTTCAGCCTCCAAGAACCAACAAAAGAGAAAAATAAATAGTCCTTTTAATGCCTTGCGTCCTCTGCAATTAATAAACATAGAAGCAACTAGTTGTGTTTTGGTTGTAAATAAGAGACATTGGACTCTTGTGACTGAATTAAGATTATAATCACCAAAGGTACAGTCATATGAGTGGGAAATCAGGAAAATGTGAGTGCATGAATTTAAGGTTGTTTAGCGTATCATCAATCAATGTTGCACATTACCAAACTTCTCTAGTTGGCAGTCTCATTGTGTACTCCATTAGACATTAGTGGTTCCTCTAGCTTTCTGTGTACACACAGATTTCTTGTTTTATTTATTTGTCTTCCATACATGCATCTCCATTTTCATTTAGCTGTATTATTCATTATACGAGCATTGTTGTCATCTGCCAACCATTCAGACCTAAACACAAGCCTTGAGTTCTCAATGGAAAAGGGAACAGGACAAAAATTAAAAAATCAAAAAAATAAATTCTTTGTTTTCATCAATATTTGTTGCTCAAAAATTGTATGGTGTTATATCCATTTACAAATTGTATGAGAAATATACTCTTCAATCTCTTCCTCCTATGAAGAAACGATCCAAGATAGCAAATCAAGAGTTATTTCCCCCAAATCATATGGAGTTCTTCTTTCTACATATTTTTCTCAAGATAGCAAATCAACAGTTATTTCCCTCCAATCATATGGAGTTCTTCTTCCTATATATTTTTCTCAAACTACTCTTTCATTTTTCCTTATTGCTGTAATCTCTTTCATTTTCTTCATAGATATATTGAATATGATCCCATTTTCTATTTTTCATTTCTACTTATACTACTAAGTTCGCGTATGTATTTCTTCCATATCCATAAAATGTATCAACCAAATGAGTTGACAATTTTAAGTAATTGGGTATCAACAATAGCAATATTTAAGTCTAAAAGGTCACCAAGGACAAGTTGAGAATTCAGGATCCGTTACAGAGAAACATATATTTTTCAAAGCTGGAAACAAGATCTAATTTGTTCATGGCCTCAAACTGTTATACTCTCCACATTTCAAATTACAAAATTAACAAATAAATCTAGAAAGAAAAAGCAACAACCTCCATAGTTACCCCAAATGACTGAACCCATCTAAGATTCAATCTAAAAGACCAGAACATCAATTAACAAGACAAGCAGACTATCCAGGATTTTTTTGTTGGTGAATATCCAGAAAGTTTATGAATAACCAAGTACTTGTAAATTCGATGATAGAAAGAAAAATAGCAGAACCAAAAATCAAAATAACAAGATGGAATGCCATGAGATTCTACCTCTGAGCATGTCCCAGGTTAACTAACTTCATCTTAACCTGCATAGCTAGATATTGTTAATACAATGAACAATTTGAACAAAACCTAAATGAGACTGTTTTATGAGTAAAATAAAATTAGAACACCACTTTGTTCCTCATAATCAGATGCAAAATATCAGTAGGCCATTTCATAAGTTTAGATTATTCATGAACGCTCCAATGGAATTGGCCACCGACGGAGGGTTGATGAGTAATTACACATTTCATATAGAAGTTAATGAAATGGAAAATGAAGACAAAAAGAGAAAAACTCATACTGCATGGGCACAAAATGGATCCAAGTTGGCCTGTCAAAGACAAAACACCAACTGAAAGACAAGGCAACTTGAATCAATCATTTGAATATGGCTTCTTCACCATGTCTTCTGTTACTCCTCCATCTATACCTACCGCCACCAAAAAAAAAAAAAAAACTCCTCCATCTATTTTTTACCACACAAAGTAAATGGTCGCTAAGCATTATAAAATTAAATTTAGTCATTACATCACCTTAGGATGCTGCATTGCAAGCCTGGTTCTCTCTCTGATCCGCTGTTTTGTTTCTGGACATAATTTACAAATTTGTAACAATATGGAAGCAAATGGTTGAACCAATTTGAAAGCTAGTTCATAATTGATTACCTGCACTGTGCTTCCTGCCTTTGTTCCAAGGAGTGTTCCCTTTATTTGCTTTTGAAATCCTCATCCGTCTCAACTTTTCTCTCTCGTCAACTTCCTCTGAGTCTTCATATGAAGAGTCATACTGAGCCACTGAGGTATTTCTAGAATCAACACCTAGGTTTAGATTATCATGACCCTTGTACTCACTGTTGCTCTGAACCAAACACTTGGGTTCAAGGGTGGCAACTGCCCTAATCACGAGCACACTACGCTGCATCTCAATATGCCCCACGTTAATGTTTATTCCCTTGTTCGGTACTAGGAAGGTCTTGGCCAACCTCTTCTCATTGCCAAATACAATTTTATTGTGCAAAAAAGTTTGAGCCCTAAGTGTAAATATATGGTTTTGGAATGAAGACTGTGCAGTAGCAATATCTGCAGCACAACAAAATATTAAATGTGTCAATGAAAACCCTAGTAATGACCAGAAAGAAACATTTTTTTCTTGCTATTTGCTACTAAGGTTTTGTCCAATGACATTTCTCATTTGGATAAAAGTTTCAGAGCACTAAAGATAACTCTCAAACTAAGTTTGTGAATTTTATTTTTCCAAATTGAGTTGAGTTAAATCGTAAACTTGCATTCTCTTTGCATTGATCATAAAAGCATTCAAACCCCGTTTACAAGCGAGACTCAATTATAAGCTTAGAATCATGAGTTGAAACTTGTATACCTATATGTGGTTACTATTTTAATATTATGTTTTCAATAAGCATTCATGAGCCTAAGGATGTGAAATTACACCACATTGAATAATGAACCCATTTAAAACCGAGACTTAGAATCACGAGTTTTGATTTTTTGACATTATATTTTGGATTCACGTTCATGTGCCTAAAGATGTGAAATTATATCACATTGAATTATGTTTTAGTAATTTTTAAATAATTGAAAACTTATTACAAATTCAACCCAACCCTTTAAACCTCACTCTACCCTAGCTCGAGTTCCGTTCTCCCCGCTCTAGCCGCCAATGTTCAATTCCTACCTCAACCCCCACCTTCTAATCTATTCTACCACTAAACATCTATAAATTAATCACCACCAAGAACATTAAATAACAGAACATAGCTAAAATAAGAATTAGAAGCTAAAAAAAGAGAAAATTTTGCATTTGTTCACAGTGAGAAAATCAAAACCCAGTTGGGTAACAGATAGATGTGAGATTTGGGGCAAATTAAGAGTAAGATAAGTGAAACCCAGTAAAATTAGGAGGGAAAATGAGAGAATTTGATTACCTAACAAAGGCATGGGGAGAGAGAGCTCATTCAGACAGAGAGTTGAAAATCAGAGTGTTGAGAAAAAGGAAGAGTACGAGTGTTGTCGAAACTCCATAGAGCTTTTGCTCTTAAATCTGTTTGGCCTAGCAAATTCAATAGCACAACTTGTTGTTTATAGCTGTTGGATTGAAAGGGTACACAAACAGAGAGTCTCGATTGGTGAAAACAAGTAGTTGGATTCGGAGGAGACCATAGAAAGATGGGGGAAGCGCAGCGAAGCGAAGCGAAGCGGGAGCTTTGGGGACGCGGCAGCAGCAACAGCCACATACGCTCACACGTTTTTGTCTAAATCTTGCAGGCGCAGAGATAACGAAATGAATTTTAAAAAAATAAAAAACATGAAAGTGATTTGGAAATGGAGCGGAATAAAAGAGAATTTTAGGCCGTGTTTGGTAGAATTTTTTAAACAATTATGATTCATCCCATTAATTTAGGAGTATTAATTGAACACTAATGAGGTGAAAATTCAAAAGTAACAAAAAAAAGAGCAAAACATCCGATCATGTGAGACTCACACCACTTTAGAGCTATTAGTGCTCTTATTTTTAATAGTCTCACTCATTTTTGTTTTTCAAATATGATTTAAAAATAAGAGTTGTATTTTGAGTTTGTGAGTTTTGGAATTATGATTATAGTATGAAAAATTTGTTTGGTGAATAATTTTTTAAAAAAGTTTTGAATTGAGTGAGAAATTTTTGATGTGACATATGATATTTGACATAAAAATTTACAACTCGTAGCCAAACACACAATTCAAAATTCTATTCAAAACTCATAAAAATTTTAAAAAATTAAAAAAATATTTTTTATTGAACATATAAAAATTAACATGTATCAAAAAAAAATTATTGTTCCGATCAACCGGCTAGACAACCGGTTAGCCCAAATTTTTCCACCTTAGACAGAGTTTTCAAAATTGAATATGGAATTAACTTTTGAAAACTATAAGCAAATGTCAAACACAAATAAAGAGGTAGAAATATATTTAGAAAATACAACCAAACACAGCCTTAATTTTGAAACTCTAAATAGAGTTTTAGTGATGTATAGTTTCTTTAAAGTTTTAAAATTAGAGTTCTTAATCTTTATTTTAAAAATTAATTACGTGGGTCTATATTTTTATAATTAGCAGGTGACAATATATGTATAATTCAAATAACTAATAACAAAAATAAATGATAAAAAATTTAATATTATAACATATATGTTGTTTAAGGGATAAATATGTTCTTAATGAAACCTAAGATTTTGGATTCAAAACTTACTTACGCTGTATATAATAAATTTTTTATGGGTCTAACATGTCTCATATTGAGATCAAGACTAGACCCGTACAGTCCGGATCATGGCTCATTTTTGGGTCCTGTTTCGATAATTCGAACCGTTTAATGTGTGAAAATCGTCGAATACTATATCCCTGTAAAAAATCACGTTGATCGGATATCGGTAGCTATTTAATCGAATCAAATTTGTATTAAAAAAAATGAACGGTGAAAAAATAAACGCTGATAGAATTTTGATTCGATCAAATAACTATCGATATCCGATCCACGTAATTTTTACGGAGATTTAGCACTCGACGAGTTCTACAGATTGAACGGTTTAAATTTTCGAAACGAAACTAAAAAATGAGCCCAAGGACCGGACTAGACGAGTCCAGTCTTGATCTCAACGTGAGACAAGCTGGACTCTTTTCTTATTTTAACATATATAAAGTTGCCACATGGCATAAGAAGAAGAAGAAGGTTTCACTAAACTAATTTAGACCTTCACTTAATAATAATATAGATATTAGAAGATTAATTTGGACATCAAATCTCTGACTGTTCAATATGATTGTTCAATAGCTAAAATTGTTTTATTTTATAGACGGCGATTGCATAGTAGTCTAAATCATATTCTTCATTAGGTTTTTTCTTAAGTATTAATTTTTTATGTCCGTACAATTATAATCATCATATTTATATAGTATTATATTTACATATTAGAATTATTAATTTTGTTTATTATAATTATATTGGTTGAAGGGTAATCATTGGATGTCTTATGGTATTTTAAATACTCCATATAAATGTGTTTATTGTAATATTATTTTTATAAATAAAAAGATTATTTAGAATAATGTGTGACATTTTTAAAAAAATATGAAAATAATAACAGTGAAATGTAGAATTACATTATTTTGTATAAAATTTTGATTTATATCTCATTATTCTATGAATATTGATTATATTGTTTTTTAGAGAAATTACACTAATGAACTTGTTGGCTACATATTTTGTGCTAGCCAGTGACAATTCGACGCGTGGTAAAGTAAGGGTAGTATGGGGAGACCAGTCAGATCTTTGATCCTGATCATACACGTGGCAGTTAATATTGGTTGTTATTAGATCTGAGTAGCAGCGGATCAACAAAGAGATGTAACGTGACGTGGCTTCAACGGTTGCTCACATTCAAATTCAAATATAGGAGGGAAGCCTAACTGCCAGTGAAGGCGTAGTGGACCTACTTATAAGGTAGCATGATCAGCGATCACAGAGGAGCAGTTCGATGGTTTGAAGTGCAGTTCGATGGTTATCTTCAGAAAGTATAAATAACAGGAAGGACTTCAGAGATAGGCACGGAAAAAAGATCTAAGAAAACCAGTCTTACTTTACATATTCTAGTTTCATTTCCTGTTCTTTACATTTCTGTACTTTAAGTTCATGCACTGCACTTCATTTGTAGGAGTAGTTTTCGAGTATATTGCCACTGTAAATCCCTACGAGGCTGAGATCATTGTAAGTTTTTCATACTAATGAAATGCTTTAATTTATTTAACTGTTCTTATGTTTACATTCTTTGAAGTCAAGCTACCAGTAAGCCACCAGTAAAAATCCTCTTTATTGAGGCTAAAAGAACCAAAACACAATCGTTTGAATAATTGGTTGGCAATTACAATTCTGTAAGGACTGATTGATCCTTGCTGGCACGCTCATAATTACAAAAATAACCTTCGAAAGCCAAAAAGCCAACATATATTTTTGGCACGCCCAGTGGGACTGTTTAAAAAATGGCTAGACGTA